ATGTGTTGATAACACATGGTCTTCTTGTGAAAGAACAATGAGGAAAGGAAAGCGGGAATTGTGATTGTTGGTAGTATTGTAGAGACATTTGAAATTGGAGAAGTGTTATGAGATATGGAAAGATCATGGCATTGTATATTTATTCAATTATTATTTTGCATTGCAAATTTCGATTGAAGATATTTATTTCATGAGAGAAAATGATATTGTAATAAGAACTATGGAAAAGTGGTATGGGGTAAATACGTTGGTAAGTCCGGTTAGCAGGTGTAGATGAATTTGATAAGTTGGCCTAAGTGTCCATGGTGAAAGACCAGAAACCCGCGCGGACAGGCGTCGAGCCTTCTGGTTAATACCGGTAAAAATGACAGTTTGGTAGTACTCATAGAGTCTACTTGCAGACACCAGCTTAGGGATTACCAGTGTTGTATTTACCGCCCCTATTGATTGAAATTGGAAGTTTTGAAATGTGTTGTGAATGCAAGCTTTTATTGGAAAATGATAATCTTCAAAAAGAGTGAAATAAAATTTCTTTAAAAGAGTATGGCATGGCATTGGGATTTGCATTTTATTGAGAGTTTGCATAACTGCATATACTTTGTAAGAATTCTCTACTGGGCTTTATGTTTACTCTTATGAAATTTTGGTGCTGGTAAAGATGTGGTGATCCCACCGAATTGAGGGCGTGTATATTTTTGTGAAGAGTAAATAGCTCTCTTATTTTGTTGTAAATTTTTGTAAGCCAGGGGCTAAACGTGTATGGGTCCAAGAGACTATTTTGTGTAACCGGGCTATTGCCTTGGAAGATGTAAGCCCCGAAGGGCGTTTTATTGTTTTGAAACTAGGTGCTTCACATGCTATAGATTCATGTGTATTTTTATCATTGAATGTATATCCGCATATGAAACTTTTGTATAAAACTCTTATATTAACTATTTAAAGATGGGAAGTTTATTGCTATGGCTTTGTGTATGTTAATTAATGTGGGTAGTTCATGTTAAATTATGATGATGAGCACTCTGGAATCCACCAAAGTTTTAGGCCCAAGTTATCTGGAATCCACCGATGATCACCTCTTTCTTTTTATGAATAAAAGAACAAAAACAATCATTGATGTTTGTCAATATATAGTCCGTTGATCAATCAATCACCTTCTATACATCAAGGAAACTCATATAAAAATATCATTCAATACAGAACACTTTGCATTTTCCTTTTCTTTGAGAATCTGGACGAGTTCAACCCTAAAACGAGCAAACGACGCACTTTATACTAAACAAAGTCAGGATGACCGCTCGCTTTACCGCTTGAGCGGTGTGACTAAAAGCAGTGCTCACATATAGGCCAACTGCTCGAACATAACATCTACCACTCAAATAGTAAAACATGTTTGCCAGACGTTCAGAATGTAGGTAGAGATACTGGATGAACCACTTCACCGCTTGAGCGGTACAAAAGTTCAGAATGTAGGTAGAGATACTGGATGAATCACTTCACCACTCGAGCGCACCAAAGACCACTCGAGCAGTTAATCAACTTTGACTTCTTTCTTGGCTTTAGGGGCACTGCATCAAACCTATTAAGGAGCGCTACCCCTTAGACCCCTACGAGCTGATTAGATAGCTTGATCCCCGTACTTTGTCTACGAAGTGGCAAACAAACTCAAAAGAAAATATTTAATGTTAGCACAAAATCCTCTACAGAGGCACAACGCGGGTTAAATTTGCATCTAAACTCTCATAACTCACAGATACGATATAGTAAATAAAAATACAAATGAATGGATTTTTGTCAATGAGATTGCCAATTACAAAAACCTAACAGACTCCAAGATATCCTGCGGTATATCTACTTCCATTGTCGAGGACCGATGGCTCTGATATCAATTGTTACATACAGTTTTCTTAACAAAATTAACACAAATAAAAGGAAGAAATAAGGAAGAAGAGACGCAGCTCAAGGGAGGACACTTCTTGTTGGTTCAATTCGAGGAGAACTTGGCCTCCATAAACTTCACACAAAGTTTAAGAAAAAACATTCAACATACTTTTTCATTGAATACAATTTCTTTAAATAAACAACTGGATAACTACAACGTCCCGATTTATTTATATAGTTAAACCATTTAATATATATATATATACCAACCATTGCAATAATTACCATGATTAACGTATAAACATTTACTCAAAATGATCTCTGTCCCATGGAACTCTTCCAACTAAATACATCCTTATTCCATTTACATACACACAAAAAAAATAAAAAATAAATAAAAGAAGTGAATGTTCAATTCCAAACCACAAAAATAGCTCTGGAACTTCAACAATTAACATTCATTGAGTCTTCGTGCTCCTTTTAAAAATACATCTGTCGCCAAGTCACTTTGGCAGTCACGTCATCATTCCTGAAATGTTGTTAGTTTGGGATGAATTATTACCCAATAGGAAATATCATTAACAAGATATATATAATCATGTCATGCACTTGTTACTAAAAAATCCATATTTTCTCTTTTAAAACTAATTTGCTTGGTTCTCATTTTTTAAAAACAGTTTTCAAAAAATTCTACACTCTTATTTTCTGTGTTTTTTTATTTTTACTGAATTTTTTAAATATTTTATGCAATTTTTTTACTTTTTAGACACACCTAACGTAAATACACCTAAAAAGTAAAAAAAATCTTTTAAAAATTCACTAAATACCAAAAATACAAAAAAAAAAACAAGAATTTAGTACTTTTTTTGTATTTTTTTGTATTTCTTAATTTTTTAAAATATTTTTTCACAATTTTTTTACTTTTTAGACACATCTAAGTAAGGTGCATCTAAAAAAGTAAAAAAAAATATTTAAAATTTTAAAAATATTCACTAAAAACAAAAAAAATACGAAAATCAAAAAACTCAGTTTTCAAAAAACTTAATCCAAAAAATTCAAACCAAACACAGTGAATGATGTTCAATCCATGATCACCACTCTCAAGTATCCTCCAGAACAATGGGGTGGTGAATACGCTATGACGTCTAAAGCAAGAGTCACTAAACCATAAATACATATATAGAGTTATATATAGAAAATATTTCTACATTTGCTGACTCTAAAAATGGTGGGGTGATGGGCACTCAAAACTTTTCCCTTCTACATTTAACAACTCCTGAAACAGTTGGCTCGTGGACATCCAAAATTATGTTTTCTCATATTTCCTGACTCTAAAAACGGCAAGCTCATGGACATCCAAAAACCTTTCCCACATTTGTCCTACAATAAACTCAAAACAAGGCAATTGGACACCTTGACTCCCTGCGCAGGTACCAAATACAACACACAACCCATTACAAAAAACCCGACTCAACTACCTAAACTCATACGCTATTTACCCTCCTTCAATATTTTCCAAACATCCACAAGATTATAAAATCACAAGTGAAAATTTTAATACACATGATGCATGAGTTTTCAAATCCAATTCCTTTAAGGTTTGTTCAATTCACAACAACATTTAATAATATTAACAATAAAAAGGTTTCTCCAACCTCACCATTTTTCACAATCTCAATATTCATCTATCACAATGCATATATCCAAGAAATTCATTAACCTCATATCTCAACACCATTTCCATAATCATCTACCCAATTTCAAGATTTAAGAGTCAAGTGAGTCAAACCCTATTATTTAATCAAGTTTGAAAACTAAGGTTTTTGAGAAAATTTGGGTTTTCCCCTCTTCTGCACCTAGAGGGTCAATTTTTATCATCAGCAACAATAATCAACAAGAACAATCATAATCTTTCTCAAAAATTTGGGATGTCAGCCCCCTTTGTTTATCAAACTCATTTTATACTGCAAAATCATCTCATACATTATTATAACTAAGAAAATACCACATACACACACACACACACACACACATATATATATATATATATATATATCTGAAATCATAAAAAATTAAAAATACCTCTACCTTAAGAATAGAGATAAAGAGAAGAAAGCCCAATAAGAAACTTTGAAAAAAAAAAAGCGAACCAATCAGTGAAAATCTTGATCTAAGCTTGCTCTTCAATTATCTTGGAAGATTTAAGTGGATCTTTAGTAGAAATGAGAGAAATCAAGTGTTTTTGGGCTAGGGTTTTGGAAATGAGTGTTAGAGAGAGAGAGAGAGAGAGAGAGAGAGAGAGAGAGAGAGAGAGAGAGTATGAAAAAGTGAGAAAGAAATGGGAAAAAATCGACTTTTAAATTGGCTACTCCAAACAGGCCGCTCGAGCGATCTCTTCATCGCTCAATCGGTGAACGCAAGCTTCTAGAAAATTTTTAGGTTTGAAGTGCAAGTACTAGTAACCACGCATCTCTACTCAAGCGATCAAATAACCGCTCAAGCGGTTTTGTTTTACACTCAGTTTGCAAAATAAATACTAGAAACCTTAATTCACTGCTCGAGTGATAATTCCACCGCTCGAGTGAACCTATAATTCAAGATGTTACAATAACTACCTATGAACCGACTAACCTCACATCACATATAACCCCACTAACTCACTAATGCTAAGACTCCTAATTACTAACTAATTAATAATAACTACTAACATAAATAAAAGATAATATAAGCATATCAAAGTGTGCTATTATATACAAATTATAATGTCTGTGGAGTAATTACCACAAATATCATAATCGAATCGTTTTCCGTCATAACCAAAAAAAAAAAACTTATAAGCAAAGATTTTTGAACCAATTAACAAATATCACTATAGGTGATGACCAAATACCACACTAGATAATAATGAAAGACCACAAAAAGTGATAAGTAGATATGTGATACACGTTTTTTTTAATTTCTTTTCTTTCTATCTTATCTTTTTAGTACAAGTCAGACTTTATTCGTTGCTACTTCTTTTTACTTTTTTCCTTTTTTTTTTCTTTTTTTTTTTTTTTCTTTCTTTTTTGGTGCTCATGGACCAACATCATAACAATGTCTATAAATTGGAGGAGCATCATAAGATGGACAAGACCAAGAAAAGAAGAAGAAAAAAAACCCGTTACTCTCTCACATAGAACTGAATTTTTAGAGAGAGAGAGAGAGAGAGAGTGATGGCACTCTTAGTAGAAAGTCCAGTTGTTGTGGGAACAACAAATGTATTTGAAGAGGGAAAGTTGAGTGTGGAAAGCATAACAGTGAATGAATCATCATCATCATCACCACCTAAACCATTGTTAATTGTTACACCAACGTTGGAAGGCACATATCCTGTGCTGTTGTTTTTCCATGGATTCTTGATTCAGAATAAATCCTACGAAGAGATTCTCCAGCATATATCTTCCCATGGATTTATAGTCGTTGCTCCTCAGGTACCTCTCTCTCTCTCGACACTACAACATTATTTTAGTTTGGTGACATTTGAAAGTACCACAAAACTATTGATTTAATGACATTTTTTAGTCTTGTGACATTTTGAACAAGTGCCATTTGTATCCGTGCCACGGTAGATACTAGTGTCACGGGAGATACTTGCAAGTGTCACTACACCATCATGGCTAAAAACTTTCAATGACATTTTGATGTCATGGTAGATATTATTTGTGGCACTATCAAGCGCCATTAAAAAAAGAGTTAGTGACACTTATAAGTTTTAGTACACCATCAAAACTAAAACCTTTCAGTGACACTTTAATGTCATGGTAGGCACTATTCGTGACGATAATTCGTTGTAGAACAATTTGATTCGCTCTTGCGGAGACTCGAACCGCCAACCTCCCGCACCATAAACCTTATACACCACACTCTTCCCACTACACCTCTATAGCACCACATGATTATATATGCAACATATATTATTTATATATAGTACATACATCCATATTAATATAAAAGTATATGTTTAAACATAATTATTTTATTGAACGTAATTTATGTAAAATAAACTATTTGCTAGCAAAATTAAAAAAAGATCACTTTTAGTGACTAAAAATATTATTTAGTCGCCAATTCTATACTTTTGGCTACTAATTATTTTTTAGTTGCTAAAAAACTTAACTTTTGCCTACCAAAATCGGATTTGGTCGCCGAAGATGCACTTTCAGCTACCAAAATTTTGGTCGCCAAAAAATTTAATTCCTGTCTTAGGATTTTAGTTCTCCCGCGCTAAAAATGACCACTTTTGGCGACTAAACTTATTTTTTAGTCGCCAATTGTAGACTTTTGGCTACTAAAATTTTTTTTGGCACCAAAAAGCTTTACTTTTGGCTACTAAAATTTTTTTAGTCGATAAAACCCATATAATCAGTGATCAAACTTATTTCTAGTAGCCAATTGTAGACTTTTGGCTACTAAATTTTTTTAGTCGCCAAAAAGCTTTACTTTGGGCTACTAAAAATTTTTTAGTCACTAAAACCCATATAATCAGCGACCAAACTTAGTTTTAGTCGCCAATTGTATACTTTTGGCTACTAAAATTGTTTAGTCGCCAAAAAGCTTTACTTTTGGCAACAAATGCTATTTTGGTCGCTGAAAGCTATACTTTCAGCGACCAAATTTTTTTTGGTCAGGAAATTTAGTCGCCGAATGTGCTTTTTTCTGTAGTGTATATTGAGTTTAATTTATTTATTTTTAATCATTTACTGCATTTTAAAAATTTAGAAAATATATTGGCATTTTTTATTTTTTCAAAAATGCCATTATAAGCTTGGAAAGTTTTTGGCTTAGTGGCATTTCTCAAAATGCTATAAAATATTTGTTTATGACACTTTTCACCTAAGTGCCATAAAAAGTAATTTGCACCTACCTAGTATCCTGACATTTTTTTAAAAATGCCATTGCGACTAAAGTTTAGTGGCATCTGTTGGTAAATGTTACGAACATAATTTTTTGTGTCATTATTTTATAAAATGCCATAAAATTGATATGACATTTCTTTATTGAAATGCCACTAGAGCCTTATATGTTTGTGGTTCTGTGGCATTTTTCTAAAACATTTAATGCCAATTTTTATTTTTGTGGCATTTTCTAAAAACATGCCACTAGTGTAGTGTCACTAAAGTATAAATTTGTTGTAGTGACATTTTTGTTGTAGTGAAGTGACACTTTTTTTAATTGAAATGCCACTAGAGCCTTGTATGTTTGTGGCTCTATGACATTTTTCTAAAAAATGGCACCAAATATTCTTTTTGTGACATTTTTTAAGAATATGCCACTAGTATGGTGTCACTAAAATGTGTTTTTGTAGTAGTGCAAATAAAATTATTATTTTGATTACAATTTTGAAAATACCTTCCCTATTAATCTTTAGGAAAAATTACATTAATAGTCCATACATTTTGCTTATTGTGTCATTTTTGTCCTTAGATTTTTTATTAACTTAATTTTGATCGTTAAATTTGAATTTTGTATCAATTTAGTTTAATTGATAACTCCATTTAAAATTTTTGATGGAAAAAAAAATCACTGAGCTTGTTGAATTTAACTCATCAAGCTGATCAAGTTTATAAATTTGCCCTTGAAAACATAACACACGGTGAGCATGTGTGCAATTTTCATAAAGATTTCTCAGAGGCATAAGTAGATCAAATTGAAATAAAATTATAAATTCAGAGTTACAATTAAGCTAATTAAAATTGAAGAGATCAAAATGACACAAAAGCAAAAGTATAGAAATTACCTGTATAATTTGCTCTAATCTTTATCTATGTACGTCCCTGATAGAATCCTATGGTGTGTAACCATTTAGATGTGCATACCATATGCACACTACCACAAAAATATGTAATTTTATCATAAAATTTCATAACATCAACCACAAAATGTTTAATCTAACCACAACTTAGTATAATAAAATGTCTAAAATTTTGTGATTGATGTTGCAAAAGTTCATGGCTTGATTATGATATTTTTTGTTATGCTACTTTAGGATCACATTACGTATTTTGTAATTGATGTTACGAAATTGTGTGATCAAGTTACATATTTTGTGGTAGGGTGCATTTCCCTGTCCCTAAGTACGCATGCATGCCTATACCTCTGTGTGTTTCATCTCAACCAATTAACTTCATCAAATGGTGTTTTTCAGTTGTACACCTTCATTTCTTCTGGGACTGAGGAAGTTGATTCTGCTGCAGAAGTCACAAACTGGTTATCCGCAGGCCTTCAATCCACACTGCCTAAAAATGTTCAAGCAAATCTCCTCAAACTAGCCCTTTCCGGCCATAGCCGAGGTGGAAAAGCCGCATTTGCCCTTGCACTAGGCCATGCCGAAACCCAACCAACTCTAAAATTTTCGGCTTTAATAGGACTTGACCCCGTTGCAGGTTCAAGCATAAAAGGCCAAATCGACCCCAAAATTCTCACTTTCGTTCCTCGTTCTTTCGATTTATCAATCCCCATCGCCATGATTGGCACCGGGAAGTCACCAGCGTGTGCCCCGGATGGAGTGAACCATTGTGAGTTCTTCACGGAATCCAAACCACCATGCTACTATTTTTATGCCAAGGACTATGGTCATGTGGACATGTTGGATGACCCAAATATTATTTTACGTCTTGCTTGTTCGGGTGGGAAGGGCGATATGGACCCATTTAAGAAATGTGTGGGAGGGATTTTTGTGGCATTTTTAAGGGCTTGTTTGGATGGTGAGAATGAAGATCTGAAATCGATTGGGGATGAACCTGGTGTTGCTCCTGTTACGCTTGATCCAGTTATCTACATTGAAGCATAAGATCCTATCCTTCATGTTTAAAAATCGAGTTAAATAAATGAATTGTTGTTCCCTTATCTAATAATAATAATGAATAATTGTCCTTTTTAATGAATGAATTGTGTACCTAGGTTGAGTACCAATAAATTCCTAAGGCAGTGTCATTTTGGGTTGCCTTGTCTTGTTTGTAAGGTTGTGGTGTTTGTAAGGTTGTGGTCTTCTTTGATGTGTTTTGTGTCTTATTAGACGTGTCTTTGAGTTTTATGTATTTTGCTTCTATAATAATCACTCTGGAAAAAATAATAATTGTCCTAGTCTGATAATTGTGCTCAACATTGTAGCATTCCTTCTATCCATATATGTGACAGTTTAAATCATGTTTTATGTTTATCATAAATCCATATAGATTTGGGGTCTAGAATTTCTTTACAATCACTGCTACAAAATCATAAGTAAATCACACTTTTTATGTGTGATTATATTATTTAATCACACGTTTTAAATTTTGTATATTTGGGAGTGTGACTAAAAAAGATCATTTTCAATCACACATTTTGGGTGTCATTAAAATATGATTCCATCACACGTTATGCGTGTGATAATAAATATTTACATCACACTTTTTACGTGTGATAGTAAACATTTAGATCGCATTTTTTATGTGTGATGTATAACTAATTAAATCCATGACAATATATATTTAGATCACATATTTTAAGCGTGATTAATATCTAATAAAACATATGATTAATAATGAGATAATAAAACATGTTATATGCATTTCTTATCACAGTTAGTACGTGTGATTAAAAAAATGGTTCGGCATATTTGAAAAATAATCAATATTATTTTTGTAGGCATTTAAAGAATGTAATACACACTATATACTATCATTTGAATCACAACCACATCGAATGAAATAACGTCATATGTATCATATATGAAAGTTGAATGTTCAAAAATATATACAAATGAATTAATAAAAAAAAAAATTGCTGTGATTATATAGATTAAAAAAATGACAAAAATTTGAACCACAAAATCGTTGAATTGTTTGACCATATTTTGCATCTCTCCAAGCAATTTTTGTCCTAAAAAATAAAAACATAAATTTATTCAGAGGCAAATTTGCCTATTCTTTAGAAATAGGGTAAATTATAATTTAACCCCCTGTAGTTTACTCTAAAAACACGGAACCCCCTTATAGTTTCATTTGTAACACTTAAACCCCTAAATTTTATACCATGTTGTAATTTTTGACGGAGGTAACAGAAGTGCACAAAACGATGTCGTTTTGTGTACCGCCTGATAAAAAATAAAATAAAATAAAATAAAAACAAGAAAGGAAGAGAGAGAGAGAGAGAGAGAGAGAGTGAAAGTTAGAGAGAGAGAGAGAGATTGCAACCATACCCAGTTCTTTCTCAGCTCAACAATGGCTTCGCTACAATGGCTTTTTGAAACTCCTTAACTGCATTATCATCATCACCCATGGCATGCAAAGCAGAAGCCAAATCACAATGTGCATCGGCATAGTCATCTTTCAAGTAAATAGCCTCTTCTAAGGCTTTCACAGCAGCTTTATATTCACCTACTCCAAAAAGAGCACTACCCAAAAGTTTCAAAGCCCTAAAATGAGTTGGACAAAGAATTGCAGCCTCTCTATAATGCTCACAAGCACTAATAACCATACCTTCACCTTCGAATGAAATTCCCAAATTGACATGAATTTGGGGAAGCAAATAAGACCACTGGTTTCCACTTGCCTCGGCTGCCTCTAATGCCAAAAGAAACTCTTCTTTTGCCTCACTATGTCTTCCAAGGACATACAAGCAATTCCCAGCTCTAAAATGTGGTCTCACATCAGTGGGTTGGAGTTCACAAGCTCTCTTGAAACTCACCAAAGCTTCTTTATACAACTGGTGCTCATACAAAACCTTACCAATGGCCATGTGCCCATCAAAAGCCTCTTCTCTAGACCTTGCTCCATCAGCTCTTGATCTCAAAACACCCAATTCTTTAATAAACAGGGCATAATTATGTCCAGACTCTTCCTAGAAAACCCTTTTATCAGAAATCTCTGAGGATGGACCCAATTCTCTAGACCATCCAGGATCCGAATACACATCCGAATTATCCCCTTTCAATTTCCCATCCTTGGCTTGCTTCGCCTTCAATCTCTTGATCAGAATCTCCAAATCGTCCACCAATTTCCACGTATCGTCGAACACAATGCCGTGATTCGGCGGCGCAGCCCACGCAGCGGTCCTCTGCTTCTTGTGCGGCTCCACCACCCTCTCGTCAGTGATCGAAGACGATAAAGCTTCTTCCGACGCCGCAGAGACTCCATTGCCGCCATTGTAGAGAAGCAATTGTTGAGCTGAGAAAGAACTGGGTTTGGTTGCAATCTCTCTCTCTCTCTCTCTCTCTCTTTTCTTTTCTTGTTTTTTTCTTTTTTTATTTTTTATTTTTTATCAGGCGATACACAAAACGACGTCGTTTTGTGCACTTGTGTTACGTCCGTCAAAAATTACAACATGGTATAAAGTCTAAGGGTTTAAGTGTTACAAATGAAACTATAAGGGGGTTCCGTGTTTTTGGGGTAAACCACAGGGGGTTAAATTATAATTTACCCTTAGAAATGATTTTGTGTTAAAGAAAAAATAAAGGCAAGAAATTCACAAAATGTGTGTTTGGATCAAAATACTTGAGATAATGTGATTATTATGTTTTATACACTTTGACTACAAAAGAAATTCTAGGTAGTGGCACATGTGAAAGAAGAATAAAATTGGATAGTCAGCGTATTTTTTGCTACTTTTTTTTTTATTAGTAAAAGAGAATTTATTGATGAGAAAAAGATATACAAGATAAAATTTTGAATTTAGATTGCATCATTGTCAAAGCCACACATCCCAACTATGTTGGCATCCATGGCAAGACCAATCATGTGCACAATCCAAAACAATAGCAGAAAATTGGTAAGGTTCCAATTCAATAACAGACAAGCCTCAAGTCAAACAAGCTATAAACAAGCACAAAAACAAAGGCTACCTAAGCTCATCATACATAACATCTCAGCCACCCCCTCCAATGCAGGAAATGCCAGTGGTGGTGCTGTTTTTATTAAATTGGTGTTTGGGCTGCTTAGTGATGTGGAGGTTGTCTGTTGTTTGTTTCTTTTTGTTGGTTCCTCATCAACTTTGAGATATGTGCTACCAAGTGATTGTGTATTCTTCTAGTGCCAACCTAATTGAAATCTTGAAGTGATTGTGTATTCCTTACCAACTAAAGAAATTGTTTATTTGCATTTTAAAGATTGAAAGTTATATCATACTTACATGTTGGATTTCAACTCATATTCTTTAGGACGAAGTTAATCCATTCAACTTGCACTTCATCAAGTTCAGTTTCTGTTAAGTCTTTTTTCCATTGAACTGCAAGAGGTTATTTAGAAACAATTAAATAATGAAAAGATGTACAAAGTATCATGAATATAATATAGTAATAAAAGTTAGAATTTATCTCACACTGTGTTTTCTTAGGTTGCTTTGATCTCTAATGAGGTCTTTCATATACCTCATTAGATAAAATCCACATTCCACATTTGTGGGTTGTTGCGGGGCCTACATGAAAGCATTTTTATTATTATTAGAAACTACATATAAAGTGTTATGATCAAGCTGAACAACCATTAGCATAAATATAAGTATGATAAAATTAGAGAAAATGATATTGATTACCTGAACTACTTTCCAAACTGGATTGATCCTCCTCCTTTGGGTAGTTTTATAAATTTTCAAAGCACTTTACAAAAGAAACAATCGTCAACTAACATAGTGAGCAATAGTCAAATAACCAAAAACAATCGTCAAATATGCCATGTAGAAAAGTCTCTGAACACTCTTCCAAGAAACCAGTCCTCTCCACAAATCAACCCATCGGGGTAATTTAAAAATTGTAGCAATAACCAACAAACTACTAATAAACAGTAACAAAATAAGGTGATCACAACAAGAAGGATCATGCTTAACCTTACCTATCATAAGTAAGTTGGTCATCCTTCATGTTTTGACAAAAGAATATATTCTAGCTTGGAAATTTGTCCAACTACTATTTTTGTTGAGTAAAAATGAACTATCTTAAAGGGGGCAATTTAGTAAGTGGCAAGACATTCAACCTCTTCCCTTACAGTCAACAAATTATTACAAAAACAAATCATCCAATTAGGTACCACAATCGCTTCTAAAGTGCTTTATGCTAGGCTAATTTTTATTTAGTGTTTCTTAATTAATTTTCTTGACCAGCTGTATTTATTCCATTATTAATGCAACATTTACCCTGTATATAAAAATAATAATGCTGTTCAATTTTTATTCTTGGCAATCCCGTTTGACAAAACTCCTTTCAGTTGTAATTGTATTCGATCTTTTGTTTCAATGAGGCTATGAGTTTTAGATACGAATCCAATCCGAATTGTACTTATGCAGAGAAGTTTGTGATCTTAATCCTATCATGTTTGCCACTTCACTGACTATGTCGGGGATCGGCTAGATACGAATCCAACCCGAATTGTGCCTTGCAGAGAAGTTTGTGAAGTTAATTCTTTCATGTTTGCCACTTCGTTGGCTATATCAGGGATCGAGCTGTTGAAGTTGTTTGTCTACTGAAGCGGCCATTCTTGCGCTCGAGCGGAGATCGCGTCCTTTCAGAAGTTTCACTAGCCTGCAAAAATACTGGGAGTTGTTTTTTTCGGTTCAAGCAGCCTTTCCTGTGCTCAAGCGTAGACCCTTGTACTAAAACACGCGTTTTAGTCAGTCCGCTTAAGCGGTATTCTTGCGCTCGAACGGAGATCGTGTATCTGTTTGTTATAAAAGCTGCAGTTCAGTCAAGTTTTAAGGGACGACTTCCGGATTTTCTTCTTGGTTATTAAGGTTTTCTTCTGGAGCTTATTTGCTTGTTTCCTTTGATATCTGTGAGAGTTTAATTATGAATTGAGTGGATTATATCAAAGGCTTTGTTTAGTTTGTTTTATTCACAAAATTGAAAGTTGTTGTTTGGTGGATTTTAGAAAATTTGGGCATGAAGCTTTGATGGATTCCTACGTGGATCATCGTCGTGGATTCGACATCGGCATTGTGGATTCAACGTCGGGCAAAACAATTCGAAGGTGAAAACGGGGCTGGAAAAGGCACATAGGGGTCAGTTTGATTCAGACGTAGATTCGCTAAGTAATTGAGAGTACACTTGTATAATTCTTTTGTGTCTTCTTAGTAGATTGTTTTGTGACTTTTGCCCGTGATTTTTTTTATCACAATTGGAGGCGCTTCAATTGTGGTTTTTTCACGTAAAATCGTTGTGTTGATTTGTCTTTGATTGTTTAATTGGAAT